GGGAGGGGCGGCCCGGGGTCTCCCGCCGCCTTATTAGCGCCTCGCGGGTCTCCAGCAGCTAGCAGACCGCCACTCAGCGAGCAACAGGAGCCGGTTAGCAGCCCACTCCTCCCACCTCCTCCGCCAGCCTCCTCCTCCTCCTCCCCTTCGGCTCCTCCCGCCCCCACCTCGGTGTGAGCAGCCGAGTCGCCTTCTCCCAGCCTCTTTCTCCCGCTGCCGCTCACTCGTCTTCTCGCTAATACTTCCCCCTGCTGTGCTCCCGGGACCCAAGCATTCTCCGCACTAATCTTAGGGACCAATGGTGCTCGAAAAGCCTAGGAAAAGCTGCTTTGGTCTGAGATAGTTGGAAGCCCCTCGTCCCTTCCCCCTCTCCCGGCGCAGCCCGTGCCCGGCAGCACCTTCTCGCTCCTGCTCACTCTGAGAGGACGGGGTGAGAAGGTGAAGTGGAAAGATCTGCAGAGCAGAGGGGGCCAGTCTCATAGCTCACATTTTCATTGAAGCAAAGGACAGAAGATCATTTTTTTTTATTCTGCATTGTTTTCCTTTTTAATTTTTTTTAAAAAAGAAACTTATTTTGGTGAGGGTTTGCTCTGGGCATTTGATTTGCCCAGTAGTTGAAAAGTGAACTCGACTCGTGATGGTTCTCCTGTCACTTTGGTTGATAGCAGCCGCTCTGGTAGAGGTTAGGACTTCAGCTGATGGACAAGTAAGTGAAAAATAACAATAATAATAATAATAAAAAAACCCCTCAAACCCAGCCTCCCCCCCCACCCCAAAGTTCCTTCTCTTTCTCCCCTCTCCCCACCCCTCCCCTCCCTCTCTTGCCTGTTATCTTGTGCATCCAGGAGCGGTGTTTTGCGGGCTGGCCGCAGCGTGCGGGACTTTCTGGGGCGGGGGGATGGAATTGCACGGGATATTGTGACTCCCCCTCGGGAGTCCAGACTTGTCACACTCAGGGCTTCGATACTTTGCGGCATTCGTCACAATTTCTAGTGACAAACTAGAGCCAATTCTCATCCTCGCCTGGCCATCTGGGTTACCCCTTTCGGGAGGGCGGTCTGGGCGCTTGAATGAAGTTCTGGTGGTCGGGTCCAGGATCCCAGTGCTCTGGTCGCTGCAGCCCCAGTCGGGTTCGCGGGGCTTTTCTCCTGCTCACTGACTCACAGATTTTTCGGGCAGCTGGAGGCGGGGGTTTCAGGAAGTCCTTGGGCCGGACAGGGAGCGATCCAGTAGACACGTGTCCTTGGGAGGACCGCGGCCGGGCTGGGGTTTGACAGTTGGGGAGGGGGCTGGGACGTTTCCTGCCCTGCTTTTTCCTGGGCAGAGGCTGGAGACGCCGGCCGCTTTTCTCCCCTCCCCCTCGGCACAACTCCTCCTCTTTTTAAAGCTAAGTTGAGAGTAGCTGTTTCTTTTCGGCCCAGCCCCCACCCTTTAGAGATTCTAGGTGAAGCCCGATGCTCTCAGAAGAGTCCTTGAGAAAGCGCAGCCAGACGGGCCGAGCCTTTTGTAGTAAATCACTTCAGCTCAGGGCCAGTGGGACTTTGGTACAGCATTTCTCTATGAGTTTTTGTAGCTTCTCTGGTCAGCCTTGTCAGACCACACAGTAAAATGTGGAGAATTGCCTACTGATCCCTGACCTCAAATCAAATCAATCAGGCCCCCCTTTAGGGTTTCTTTTCCAGGTATAAATTCAGAGGCTTTCTTTTCTAATCCTGATTCAGTATCTGGAGTTTTCACAAGGTTGAGTGTCAGTATTTGTGCAGACTTCCTAAATGTTACATTAAAATTAAAGCGGTGAAACGACTCCCTACTCCAAGCTGTTTATGGAATTGGCTCATGCTCCTGTCACAAGAACCTTCTACAAACCAAGGTGCAGCCTTAGGCAGGAATCCCAGTCCTTGGCATCTCCTGATTAGCTAGCTCTGAAAAGCATTAATGGTAGAAATAAAACGCACAAGATGATAAGATGAAACCCAGTAACTGTTCTTTTTCTTACTTTTCCCCCTCCTTTCCAGGCTGGTAATGAAGAAATGGTGCAAATAGGTAAGCCTTGTTCTCAGATGTCACTCTTATCTCAGTGGAAAGTAGGGAATGAAGTCAGCTAAGCAAAATATTGTTACTGAAATTTCTTCCATTGATGGTTAAAAAATGAATGTGTAACCCAGGTACATTTCTACTCCTCTTTATTCTCCTCTTTCTGGAGGAGGGTCCCATTTTCTTCAGGCTAAATTATAATACAAAAAATTCTTCTGCAGTCGGACCTTCCAAACTTCAGTTTATTTTTGTCTTTGGACAAGCCTCTGGTAGGTACTTGGATGGGAATGTAGGAGCTGGATAAAGATAGGGAGGTGACTCCAAGCAGTCTGTGCACCACTGAGATGAACACATCTAATTGAAGCCAACTAAGTGTGAACATGCTACACAGAGAGGGAAAATGAAATCCAGAGGATGGACATTTTTCTCTTAAAAATTTTTCAGCTTTGGATAAACTCTGATGGCTTCTATTCCATTTGCTTTAACATTACCTACAGTTGTGCATGATTTGTTAGGCCCTCTGCAAACGACATCTAAAACTTCAATTTTATGTGCTGGTGTGAGTATTATCATTCCATTTTACAGGTGAGGAGACTGAGGCTCAGAGAGAATAAGTGACTTGTAATAGGTCACTACAAAGTCTGTGGTCTTTTTTTGTATCTGTTTATAATAATACATTTGTTCTGAATCCAGGGACCAGAAGTCATGTGACAAGAAGCCTGGTTCCATTCAAAGTTTCTTTTATACACATTTAACTTGGGTTACCTTGAAAGATAATGTTTCTTTTTGGCAGAGTACTAGTCTCTATAAATACTGTTTTTCTCAAGTGATACTGTAAAGTATCACTTCATCTTTTAGATGAAGACTTACTAGTGCTAACATAGCTACAAGTCATCCCCCATTTGCTACATACCACAAAGCACTTGTGCTAACTGCTTTGTGTATGGCATGTCACCTAGTTCTCACAACCACACTGCCAGGTAGGGACACCCTTGTGCCTATTTTAGAAATGAAGAACAACCAGTTTTAGCTGTGCTCCAGTGCGCAGTGGAGAGCTGGGGGGATTTCATACAGTGGATTCATGGGGGAAGCCCAAAATTCAGGGTGACTGTGTATCAGCTTGTGTCAGAAGGCTCCCTTACTTAGCAGTGTTGGATCTCTTCTCAAAGAGAAGGACAGAGGGGAGGAGAGTGACTAAAAATACATTAAAAATGTTGTGTCTGGGCTTTCCCTGGTGGCGCAAAGGGTTAGGACTCAGCATGCAAGCTGGATGCAGCCACTTCAGTGCGAGTTCGATCCTCATCCCCGGAGGTGACCCATGTGGCATGGCAGACCTCTCCTAACCCACCCGCTGCTCCCCTCAGCCTTGATCTGCCTATTCTGCTGCCCACTCTGTCTCTGGTGAAGTTGCTCACTGCCTCTGCACCTCTGGCCTATACCCCAGTTCTGTATACAAAAATAAAAAAAATGTGCCTATGAATTGTACACAACTTCATTTGTAGTTGATAGCATTCATCTCTTTACCTACCTACCTTCCTACCTGTCTCTATATATACATCATATATATACAATATATATGCATACTTTTTTTAAAAAAAAATTATTCATGACGAACTGGAGTACAGGTCAGAGGTATAGAGGCAGTGAGAGACTTCACCAGAGACAGAGTGGGCAGCAGAACAGGCAGATCAAGGCTGAGGGGAGCAGCGGGCAGGTCAGGAGAGGTCTGCAGTGCCATGTGGGTCACCTCTGGGACTGGGATCGAACTCATGCTGAAGTGGCTTTAACTTCTTAGTGCTGTGCTTTAAGGGCCCTGCACCACCAGAGAGGGCCTATATATGCATACTTTTAAAAGAGGAATATTGTAACCAAACCAAGAAAACTGTCTTACATTATTATTAACTAAACATGTGATTACTTAAACACCACAGCATTTCAATATTAAAACTGGCTTCAAATTAAAAAGCTGTTGTGAGGTTATTCTTTCTACTACAGTATTGAAATATATTATTTTGGTTACATTTTCAGATAGAGAATTCACATGTTCTCATTTAAGGGGCCCTTGGCTAAACTTTGGTCCAGGCCTTTGCTCATATATTTGGTCGTCCTTTTCTGTAGGGATGGAATTAGTACAGGTGTGCTTGAATTTTGTAGGTGGGAAGTGAATAGCAGTATGAGAAAGGGGAGTGTGGCATTCTTAGGTTGTAGTGCTGGAGATTTACTTGCTCCAAGGTTCCTCTGTTTTAATGGAATTTTTCTTTTATTACCAATTTTATTTACCATTTCAAGTTGATGGAAGTGAAAAAAATGATAAAAATAGATTTGACTCATTAGTCTTGTGATATAAAAATGTAGCTACCATTTGGTTTTGGGTTATATTCATTTTTTTTTTTTTAGCTCTTAAGATGAATGTTAAAGATTTTTTAAAAAAAAATCTTCTGTACAATAATGAATTTTCTTTTTCTTGTGTTCTGCACAAAGGGATTCTTTACCTGGAGGTTTGGTGAAATAACTAATTTCTTCCAATACTCTATTTCAAAGCAGTTTTATATAACTGCATGAGGATGTTATTTTATCAATGTTATAATAAGGAATAACTAATAAAGCCTGTACAATTTTATATTTTATTTTTACTGATATTTGAATTGGCTGGTAAAAATACCATAGTTCTGAGTAATTTATTGTCTCATTAAGAGATACATATAAGATAGTGACAAAGCACAATTTTGGAAACTGAACTTTAAAAATACTTTCAATAGTAATACAATACACATGCTGTATAGTACATATATGCACACATCTTGCTGATTCATCAAACGAAACCCAGTCACACAGTGACTGAATCATTATATACACTATTGCCAACCCTGTTCCCAACTTCAGCACTGTCCCTGCATGCTCCATAAGCACCCTTTTGACTTCTAACAGAGATTCTGTTTGCCAGCCTTTTTTGGGGGGGTGTTTTTTAATCAATAGAATTATACAAAAATTTTTTAAAATGTGTCTGATATATTCCTCTAGACAGGAAAGCTAGTCGGGAGAAGGTAGTTTGTAGTCTGTGACTGGGGCATGCTGGAATGTGTGTAGATATCTCATCTGTATAGTGTGTCATACAGGTTAGTAGTGCTTCTTTTCTCTTCTCCCCACTCAGTGGGAAAATGCCCTCTTGGTATGTGGGAAAGTAAGATTCACCCTTGATAAGGCAGACACATAGGGATTGAACCAGCCCTAATTCTCAGTTCCTTTGTCAGCAAAAGTGGAACTGACCTAATTATCTATATCCATAAGTCCACACCTGTGGACACATACATGTAGTACATGTGTGATGTGTCAATACTGTGTATATTTGTGTATAAGTGTGTTCAGTGAATCACTAACATACTTGTGTACATGTCAGGGAGTCCTTTTGTTTCTGACTTAGAGCATGACCTTGGGAGGATGCCTAGCATAATTGTGGGCATTTGTGGCTGACTGCGTAATTGGGTAGGGAGGTTTGTTCTGTGACACATGTGGCTTAGGAAATAATCATAGTTTTGTAGAAATTGTAGAATCTGGAAAAGAGTCCTCTGAGTCTCTTTGATTCATAAGCCACCACTTTGAACTTGCCTGAGTTTCATCAGAAGAAAAACCATTTGATAGTTTGGTGTTAAGCTGTCTTCCCACCCACTCCCTTTCTGGGAACTGGGATGTAGTCATCTTACTCTGCCCCATTTCTGTTTCCCAATTTTAAATTATAACATCCATTCTTACCAACATAAAGTTGTTCATCGTACCCTCAAAAATATCCAATTGACTGAGAAATAGTTTTCTATCATTTGCATATACTTCCTTTTTGGTTTTCAATGTTAGTAGACTTTATCTAGTACTTGGTATATATCAGCATTTCACTAGTGTAGATCTCATGAAATCAAGGACTTTGTCTTCATGACTGCTGTATTCTCAGTACATAAAACAAGGGCTTGGTACTTTGTGGCTCCTCAGTTGTTTGTTATTCAATGAATGGATCTAGCAAGCAATGTATCATCATCTTGGGATTTACTGTGGTCTTAATTGCCTTATGCTCTTGGTCAGTGACTCTCTACAGTTTAACACCACCAAGAAATGAGGGTGGTAGCAATGGTGAAAACAGTTATTCAGTGTAAGTAAGCCTTCTTGTGATTTCTCTTTTCACCCTACAGAGTCCTCAGGGAACTAAGTCTGTTGGTTTTTACATCTTAGTTTATGCTTAATAAGTATTTCACAAATTAAATCAACTAATGTGCAGTTTTAGAATATTTACTTATTTCGCAGTCGAGTTTTCTTGGGATCATTTGTCTTGTTACTGTCATCAGGACAAAGATAAACATCCATCAATTTAGTAAGATAAACATCTATCATTTAGTTTGCTAGCCATGACAAAAAGTGTGTTAAAGGTTTTAAAGGGTCTTTGTGAAATTTCGAATTTAAGCTGCCTTAGTTTCTTGTAACTAAGATTATGCACTTGATTGGTTGAGGGCCCACCCCCTCTACTGAGCATGTGCTAAGTGCTTTGGCTTTTTTTCATGAGATGTTAAGTGCTGCGTACTATCTATCACCTGAAATTTATTGTTGCTGTTTGGCTGAAATATTTCTTTCACATTATTTCACTTGTCATTGTATCAAATAATTATAATGTTGCTCAAAAATATTTAAGAAATTCCCATGATCACCTCTGCTGCCAGTCTGATTATTACCTCTAAATGTTCGTATTACCTTGGAAATCAATTAGGGACAATTTCAAATTGGCAAAATCATGAGTAATTTCAAGATGGAGAATTTGGAAGTTGACAGTGCTGACCTAGATGGAACACACATGCTTCCACCAAGAGGTGTGTTATTCTCAGAATTTAGGAATCCTTTCTACTGTTTCTCAAATAAAGATCAGCCTTAACTCCCAAACTGTGCTACTTCCATTACTAGAATTTGCTAATATTTTGAAATTAGCAAATTAGTTTAAATTAGTTTTTATTCTGATTATAAGTGTTTTACAT